CCTGGTAGGTGTCCGCCACGTCCGTGTGCCGCGGGCGTTCAGTCGGCGTCGGAGGCCGAGGCCGCGCGGGAGCCGAGGGAGGTTCTGGCGGTGCAGCCTCCGCCCCGGTAACTCTTCTCCCGCCATCTTCTCCCCACAGATGGCCTCGACTACAGCAGCACTTCTGGACGGTACCCGGGTGAGTGAGACGTTTCCCGGGCAGCCAAGGAAACCTGGGTCCTTGGGTCTGGCAGGAGAAGAACTCAGGCAAGACGGAGGCAGGGCGAAGGTGACGGGAAAGGTCGTTAGAAAACAAATATGGCAAGCCGGACGCCCGTGGCTCATGCCTGTCATCCTAGCTACTCAGGAGGCTGAGCTCACGGTTCAAAGCCAGCCCGAGCAGGAAAGTCCGTGAGACTCTGATCTCCAACTAACCACTAGAAAACCAGAAGTGGCGCAGTGGCTCAAGCGGTAGAGTGCTAGCCTTGAGCTGAAGAGCTGAGGGACAGCGCCCAGGCCCAGAGTTCAAGCCCCACAACTGACAAAAAAATATATATATAGCAGAGAAAGAGAGCACGTGGCTTACTTACATGCCACACACAGCACTTGAAACATTTGATCACTAAGCCAGGGGAGAGAGGGAGAGGGAGAATGAGAAAGGGAGAGACTCATGCAGGTCATAGATTGTTGTTGGTTTTGTTTTTGCCAGTCCTGGGACTTAACTCAGGGCTGGGGTTCTGGCCCTGAGCCTCTCTGTGCTGGAAGACTAGCACTGTACCACTTGAGCCACTGGTGTGAACCACAGGTGCTGGGTCATATCACAGGGTTTTGGTTTGGTTTGATTTTGGTCGGTTTTAGGGCTTGAACTCTGGGTCTAGGCACTGTCCCTCAGCTCTTTAGCTCAAGGCGAGCACTCTACCACTTGAGCCACAGCACCACTACCAGCTTTCTGGTGGTTCATTGGAGATAAGAATCTCATGGACTTTCCTGCCAGGGCTGGCTTTGAAATGTGATTCTCAGATCTCAGCTTCCTGAGTAGCTAGGATGACAGGCATGAGCCACCGGCGCCCAGCATGGCTTATTTATTTGCTGGTTTATTTTTTGTCAATCATGGGGCTTGAACTCAGAGCCTGGGTGCTGTCCCTGAGCTCTTTGGCTCAAGGTTAGTGCTATACCAGTTGAGCCACAGCTGTACTTCCTTTTTCCTGCCTGGACTAACTTTGAACCGCTATCCTCAGATCTCAGCCTTCTGAGTAGCTAGAATTATAGATGTGAGCCACCAGCACCCAGTTTTTATTTATTTTTGCTGATACCGGGGCTTGAACTCAAACCCTTGCACTCTTTGTTTGGCTTCTCTTCTCCACTTCCACCCCCCACTCAAGGTTGGTGCTATACTATTTGAGCTACACCTCCACTTTGGGATTTTTGCTGTTTAATTGCAAATGAAGGTCTCACTGATTTTTCTACCCAGGCTGGCTGGCTTTATACTGAGATCTTCCACCACTGCTCAGCTTGTGGCCCTTTCAAAAATAATTCCCTCCCCGCCCCTCAACTTTGCTTTCAGACCTCAACTACATTATACTTCCACATGACCTGCACGCTCAGGCCCGAACAGATCAGATTTTCTTACCCTGAGCCTATGGGAGAGTCTGAAGACAAGTCATTTTCATAATTACATGGTTTGTTCTGGGCCTTATTTTTGCAATGGCTGGGTCAGTAGATACTGAAGTGCATTGTCCCTAAGAAGTGAGGAGAGCAGGCTTCTATCAGAAAGGACTTTCTCAATGCTTTGTGCTGGTTGGCAGGGCACAGGTGACAAGCTTCCCTGTTCTGACTACACATTTCTATGGCAGTAGCCATGCTCCCCCACTACACCTCCTGGAGACAAATTAGGGGCATGCTCACGAGACCACGTTTCAGGTCCTTCTGTTTGGAACAGTAAGGACATTGTGTGGCAGCATGTCAGTTTAAACCCAGACTTGATTGGATGAGATGTTGCAGCGTGTTACACATAGAGGGGTCTGTGTGTAAAGTCACACTGCCCAAGCTGGGAGCAGCCCAGCAGATGAGGCATTTTGCCATTACTTTCAGGGCTCTAGGAACCTTGGTATGTGTGAACAGAGGCACTTAGTCTCAGGCTTTTTGTAATTAGAATAGCATGAAAGGCAGATGATGTCCTTGAGGCACAGGGAAGCTGAGTGCTTGTACTGTGTTATACACGGCAGAGTCAGTGCTGAAAACTGAGGCTCAGATCATTTCATCCAGGCCTCTGCTCTAGGAGAGCTTGAGCCAGTGGAAGGCCTTTGTGGTCATGTCCTTGTCATTACCCATAAGCTTCTTGGCTGCAGAAGAGCTTGTGGTCACTGAGCAGGTGGAAGGTACTGAGTAGAGCATGTTTAGATTTCTCACCAGCTGTCCCCTCTGTCTCTGAATTATGTTTGAGACTCTTCTGCCACTCTTCCAGCCTTGATTGTCAGTAACTGAGTGAACTCAGGGTCTTATACTTGCTAAGGAGGAATTCTACTACTTGAGCCATACTTCCAGCCAATTTTTATATTAGGCTTTTTTCCCCCCTGATGATGCGGGAGTTTGAACTAAGGGCCTGGGTAGCACTCTACCACTTTGAGCCACAGGTCCACTTCTGGTTTTCTGGTCATTAATTGGAGAGAAGAGTCTCACAGACTCCTACCTGGGCTGGTTTTGAACTCAGATCTCAGTCTCCTGAGTAGCTAGGGTTACTGGCGTGAACCACCAGTGCTGGCTACATTAGTTTTTTTGTTTGTTTTTGTTTTTGTTTTGTTTTCCCCATTCCTGGGCTTGAAATCTGGGCCTGAGCTCTGTCCCTGAACCCTCTCTGTGCTCAAAGCTAGCACTGTACCACTAAGCCACAGCGCCACTTCTGACCTTTTCTGTGTATGTGGTACTGAGGAATCAAACCGAAGGATTCATGCATGCAAGGCAAGCACTCTACCACTGAGCCACACTCCCGGCCCTACATTTTAAGGTCCGGTTTAGTTATATGCCAAGGCTTATCTGGGCCTCCCTCCTCTCACTTGGGCTTTCCTGTTGTACTGAGAATGACAGGCACCACCTCTGGGCCCAGCCGTCATGCCTTCCCCATAGCTGGGAAAACAGGCACCTGCTACTGCACCCAACCCACTGGTTGGGATGAAGTTCCTGGATCTTTTTGTTGGAACCCCTGGTATGTCAAGATTACGCATGTGAGCATCAACCCACAGTTTTGGAGGTGGGATGGTGGTCTGGGCTGCCACTGGAATATCATCATGGGGAGCCCCTCACAGTAGCTGGCGTGAGAACTGTTGGCATGGAGACAATGAGGAGCAAGGGCTGGGGTCAGAGGCCTTGGAGCAGCAGGTAGAACACGGCACAGAAACCACAGCGTGCTTCTGTCGCCTTGTACAGACATGCTAGAGTTTCGTTGAGACCCTTGAAGGCTTAAGAGTCCAGCTCGTGGGTGATGATTTTGGAGCACCATCCTGCCTGCCTCTTGGCTGTGGTGGAAGGCCACTAGGATGGGCAGGTAAGGAAAGTTGCCACAGTGAGGAGCGAAGAGTGTGCCATTGCTGGTAGGGACAGTTTGATTCTTGATGATGGTTCTTTCATTTTTTTTGGGGGGGTCCAGTCGTGGGGCCTGAACTCTGGGTCTGGGTGATGTCCCTCAGCTCTTCAGCTCAAGGCTAGCGCTCTACCACTTGAGCCACAGCGCCACTTCCGGTTTTCTGGTGGTTTATTGGAGATAGGAGTCTCACGGTCTCTCCTGCCCGGGCTGGCTTTGAACCGCGATCCTCAGATCTCAGCCTCCTGAGTAGCTAGGATTACAGGCGTGAGCCACCAGCGCCCGGCTTTCCACAGCTTTCTCTGCTGGCTCTGCCTTGTCACTACACTGGGGATTGCCTGATTGTCTCTCCACTGCTTGAACCATGCCTCCAGGCTGTTTTTACACTGGTTTTAGTGAGATGGAATCCTCTGAGGCTGGTCCTAGGGCTTAAACTCAGAGTGTGCTGTCCCTGAGCCTCTTTGTGCTCAAGGATAGTGCTGTACCACCAGAGCCACAGTGCCACTTCCGGCTTTTTCTGCATAGTTTTATTGGAGATAAGAGTCTAACAGGCTTTCTTGCCCCAGCTGGCTTTGAACCACTATCCTCAGATCTGTCTCCTGAGTCACTAGGATTACAGGCCTGAGCCACTGGTGCCCAGTTCTTCTAGTCTTTTTGCCTGAACCATAATCCCTGATGTCTGCTCAGGTCCTGTCCTCAGAACATGGTTCATGTATTTCCCATAAACTACAACTTGGACTTATGGAGAATCCTGGTTTCTATGTAAGATGAACGCAGCATGATTACCAGGGTCTTAGAACAATTGGCAGCTGTGTCAGGACACAGGAACAGCGTTCATTTCCCTCTGGGGCCTTCTCCTGTGTCTTTTACAGTTTATGATGCAGTCGCCACTGGACAAACTTCATGTCCGCCTGCTCACTTCCAGGCTTGTCTCATGTGTCCAGACCCATTGTGTCTTCACGTATCACATATATCATTTGCTCTGGTCTGCTGCCACTCTGCATGCTCTCCAGCCCTGACTGATACCCAACACATTCTGACGTGTGCAGGTATCCTTTAATGCTTCTAAACACTCTTTGCATTGTGTCTTCTTGGGCTTGGAGTGAGAGAGTCCTTTACACAGCATGCTCCTGCTTCCCGCTGGCAGGCGATACTGTACGAGACCTAAGTAAGTTTGAATAACTTCATGGCAGGGCGTGAACAACTAGTGCCACATGGCAGCATTGCTTGTTTACAGCATGTCAGCGCAGTGAAGGTGCTAGCTCATCCTGCCTCCATATTCTGAAAATAATCCTCTGGGGTTGGCACTGCCGCTCAACAGTAGAGTGCATGTGTAGCACGTGAAAATCTGTCATCCCCAGCACCTCCAAAGAACTCCCGTGGATGCATCTCCCCACCCCCACAGTCTGCAGGCCTCTTTCCATGTTTTCTCTGATTCTAGGCTGTGGACACAGAGCAGGGGACAAGGAGGTGTCTGCACAGAAGGCTTCTGAGGATGGTGCATCGTGCCTGAGGACTTCACGGTCAGGACCACCCGCTCAGAAGACTCACCGGTGTGACACCTGTATCCTGGCTCTGAAAGATATCCTGCATCTGTCTGATCCTCCTGTGCAGAAGCTGTACCTGGCTGGGCCGTGTGCAAAGCCTCCCCCGCACCACATGCTTCATGCTGGCAAGAAATGCTTAAAGGAGGATATGGACAGGAATTCACTCAGGAAAAGCCATGAATTGTCTACACCAGGAAAGCCCTTCAACTGTGAGGCTAATTGTAAGAATTTCCCAACCTCATCAGACCAGGTCATTCCTCATGGCAAAAATACAAATAACTCTGAGTTTGGGGAATCCCTTAGCCAGAAAGACAGTCATTACAACCTATTCAAATGCAAAAAAGCTTCCAGTCACAAAAATGTGGCTTTCCATAATCTGAAGGTCTGTAGTAGAGAAAGTCATTATGAGCAAAGCAAGTGTGAGGATGTGTTACAGGACAGACACTCACGTGATTGGCACCAGGAAGGACGTGCTGGAGAGCGGCCTTACAAGTGTGGAGAATGTGGCAAATTCTTTAAGCGAGCGTACACCCTGGCTGTACACCAGAGATCCCATGCTACAAAACTGTCTTACAAGTGTAAAGGATGTGGGAAGTCCTTTAAGCATGTGAGTAGCCTTAATATACACAAGACAACCCATACTGAAGAACGGCCTTTTACGTGTGGAGAATGTGGGAAATCTTTTAAGCGTGTGAGTACCCTTAATGCACATAAGAAAATCCACACTGGTGAGCGGCCTTTCGAATGTAGAGAGTGTGGTAAGACGTTTGTACGCCTGGGTTCCCTCACTGCACACAGGAGAGTGCACACCGGAGAGCGGCCCTACACCTGCAGAGAATGTGGGAAGTCCTTTAAGAATAGGAGTGCCCTCAGTGTACACAGGAGGATCCACACTGGTGAGCGGCCTTTTGAATGTAGAGAGTGTGGTAAGACATTTGTGCGATTGGGTTCCCTCACTGTACACCTGAGAGTGCACACCGGCGAACGGCCTTACGAGTGTGGAGAGTGTGGGAAATCCTTTGCAGGAGCGGGCACCTTTGCAATCCACCAGAGAATCCACACTGGTGAAAGGCCTTATAAATGTAGAGAATGTGGGAAGTCATTCAAAAAAAAAGATGCCCTTAATACGCACCAGAGAGTCCACACTGGAGAAAAACCTTTTGAATGTAGTCACTGCGGGAAAGCATTTAAGCGAATGGCTTCTCTTAGAATACATGAGAGATCCCACACTGGAGAAAGGCCTTTTGAATGTAAAGAATGTGGGAAATCCTATACAGGAAGATATGCCCTTCTGGCACACCAGATGCTTCACACTGGAGAGAGACCTTACGAATGTGGAGAATGTGGGAAAGCATTTAAGCTAAGTGGTGCCCTAACTGCACACAAAAGAATCCACACTGGAGAGAAGCCTTACGAATGCAGAGTGTGTGGGAAGTCATTTAGAAAGAAATATGGACTTACTGTGCACCATTCAATCCACAGGGCAGAAAGGCCTTTCAAATGCAGGAAATGTGGGAAATCTTTTAAGAGAGCAACAGACGTTACCATACATCAGAAGGTCCACACTAGAGAAAAACCTTATGAGTGTAGAGAGTGTGGGAAAGCATTTAAGCGGATGGCTTCTCTTCAGATACATAAGAGACTCCACACGGGAGAACGGCCTTATGAGTGTAGAGTGTGCAGGAAATCCTTTAAGCGGTCAACTGAACTTACTCAGCACCTGAAAGTCCACAGTGGCGCACGGCCTTATGAATGCAGGAAGTGTGGGAAGTCCTTTAAGCGAGCAGCTGAACTTATTGTGCACCAGAGAGTGCACACCGGAGAGCGGCCCTACAAGTGCGGAGAGTGTGGCAAGTCCTACAAGCAAAGGGGTGTCCTTATCGTGCACCAGAGGATCCACACTGTCGTAAAGCCTTACGAGTGCAGAGATTGTGGGAAGTTCTTTACACAAAGAGGTGACCTGAATGTGCACCAGAGGGTGCACACCGGAGAAAGGCCTTACGAGTGTGAAAAATGTGGGAAGGCATTTAAAAAGAGACATGCACTCAATGTGCACCGAGTCACTCACACGGGAGAAAGGCCGTACGAGTGCAGACAGTGTGGGAAGTCTTTCATTCAGCGCTCTCATCTTACTGTTCACTGCAAGATTCATGCTGGATAAACATCTCACAAACCCAATGAATGTGCAAAAGCTTTGGGGTACAGAAGCAATGTGGGTTCATTCTCCATGTTTGGTGTGGTTTTTATGAAAGAGCTCACTTCGTTATAAATAGGGAAGTTCACACTTAGGATTTATGAGTGTGATGAAAGTAGGAAAGGGCTGGGAAGGTAGCTCAGTGGCAGAGTGCTTGCCTGGCATGCATGAGGCCCTGGGTTCGATTCCTCAGCACCATCAGAAAAGGCTGGAAGTGGCACTGTGGCTCAAGTAGAGTGCTCGCCTTGAGCTGAAGAGCTGAGGGACAGCACCCAGGCCCAGAGTTCAGGCCCACAACTGACAAAAAAAAAAGTAGCAAAGTAATTAGGCACAAAACCAATTATCATTAATCACCGTTAAGTTTACAGTGAGAAAATTACAGTTGTCATTGTGGAAAGTTCCTTAACCAAGATCTCATGTCCCCAGAGTAAGGCTTTATGAATGGAGCAAATGTGCATCATCTGGTTCTCTCTTTTTTTTTTTTTTTTGGTCAGCAGTGGGGCTTGAACTCTGAGCCTGGGGGCTGCTGTCCCTCAGCTCTTCAGCGTAAGGCTAGTGCTCTACCACTTGAGCACAGTACCACTTCTGGTCTTCTGGTGGTTTACTGGAGATAAGAGTTTTACAAACTTTCCTGTGCAAACTGGCTTTGAACCTCAGTCCTCAGATCTCAGCCTCCTGAGTAGGATTACAGTTGTGAGCCAATGGTGCCCAGCTTGATTGACATTTTGTAAGAAGGGCTTAGCCACTTTTGAAAGTTGTTGATCTCATAGTTGATGTTTCTGAACTCACACAAATGTAACTGCCTCACAGTTCCTGTACATTAATAAATTTGTTGAATCCATATTTAATTATGGTGGTTGATGTAACCATGCTGGGTGAGGTTATAAAGCCTTTGGGTTCATTTATATGATGGAGGGGTTGGGCAATGTTATGGGATCCTCCTTCCTCTACACCACAGTAACATGTGCCCCAGGATAGAAAGTACAGTGGTGGAGAGTGTTTCTTGCTTTACAATCCCCCCTCTCCCCCCACCCATTTGGATTTTTTTTTAACTATCTTTTTTTGTCTTTTTTGGTACTGGGGATCGAACCCAGGATATTGTACTTGCTAGGCAAGCATTTTGCCACTGAGCTACATCCCAGCCCTCCTTTTGGGGGGGGGGGGGGGGGAGTTTGGTCCTGGGACTGGGACTTGAACTTAGCCTGGCACTGTTCCTGCTGCTTTTGCTTAAGGGTAACTCTACCACCTGCACCACAGCGCCACTTCCAGCTTTTTCTGGGTATTTTATTGGAGATAACTCTCACAGTCTTTTCTGCCCAGGCTGGCTTTAGATCTCGGGACTCAGCCTCCTTTGAGTAGCTAGGATTACAGGTGTGAGCCACTGGTGCCCAGCTTTTCCTGCTTCAGTTCTTACAACGTAGACGGTTGCCCAAAACCTCCAATGGAATACATAGGATTTGGTGGTCCTAAATTGTGGCCTGGAAGTTTTCACATTTTGTGATGCCAGAGATCATCCAAAGAGAGGACTTGGATGTGAACAGCTACATTGGCTCTGGAAATAGCATGGCTTTCTTCATTTGTTACAGAAGATGCCATCAAATGCCAGCTTTTGAGAGAACACTTCCTCACATCATACCAAGGTGCTGCTTCAATAATACCACTCACACAAGAAACCACTGGCATACATAAGCATTGGAGAGGGCAGTATGGATCCAGACTAGCACCTGTAGGTAGGTGCAGACATTGGAGTCAACATGGCATTGGGCCATGTCCATTCTGGCTATACTGTCATAGTCACCTATCACAAGGTGGTGCAGGAATTCAGCAACTAGCTTCTGTGTGTTAACACTGGACAAGGGAACAGATATTCAGTCTGGCTAGCACCCAGTTTTCTCAATATGATGGAAACAATATCAACCTGACAGTTATGTAGTTCAAACTTTGGTTAATATTAGTAAACAATAAAATGGTAGCTGGGAGCCGGTGGCTCAGGCCTGTCATCCTAGCTACTCAGGAGGCTGAGATCTGAGGATCACAGTTCAAAGCCAGCCTGGGCAGGAAAGTCCATGAGTCTCTTATTTCCAATAAATCAACAGAAAACCGGACACAGGCACAACTGACCAAAATAGATAATAAAATGACATCTTCAACACCTGTGTACGCTCACATGTGAGCACACCAGTACACCAGTACTAGGGCTTGAACTCAGGGTCTTGGTATTTCCTGAGCTTTTTTTACTCAAGGTGAGCACACTACCAATGAGCAGCAGCTCCACTTGTGGCTTTTTAGTAATTAATTGTAGATGAGAGCCTCCTTGGCTCCCTCACTTGTGTTGGTGGCTCATGGGAGATAAATCTCATGGACTTTACTGCCCGGGCTGGCTTTGAACCATGGTCCTCACATGAGGAGGATCACAGGCTTGACACAAACACACACACGTACATAGATGATATATATACCTATTTTTCGGGCCTGAACCTTGTCCCTCAGCTCTTGGCTAGCGCTCTACCGCTTGAGCCACAGCGCCACTTCCGACATTTTCTGCTTATGTGGTGCTAAGGAATCGAACCCAGGGCCTCATGCATGCCAGGCAAGCGCTCTACCACTGAGCCACCTTCCCAGCCCTCAAAAACGCCTTTAAAGGCTTCGTGACAGGTTTTGCTGACTTGACTGCCTTTATTCTTATCACTAAGAACTATATTACCCAGGATGCCGCGGTATGGGCCAATGAGAGCGTCGGAACTTAGAGCTTCCGGGATACCCAGGGCGTCTGGGCGGGACTTTCGGGGTTTCCCTGCGCAGCCGGCGGGCCGGGGCCACGCGAGGCCATGGTGTCCGCCGCGGTGCTGCACGGGTCCCGGGTGAGTGGTGCGAGCCCCGTACTGGGTCCGAACCCCAAGCCCGCTCGTTTCCCCATGCGCCAATTCCCTGCGGTCCCCGGGTCTCTTCAGCCGTCCCTGGGGCTCCCCAGCACCCCATTCTTACAGGCCGTGAAAAGCATGGGCGCATGCCGGACCTGACACCCTGGGAAGTAGATGGCGGAGTGCGCCTGGGACTTTGTGTGCCAGTCCCAGGCCTGGAAGGCAGCACCTCTCCCCTCTGGATCATGAGCTGTGGGGCAGGAGGAGCAGTGTGGAGGGTGGCACCACGGCCTGTCTTCCCTGTGTCACTGCGTTGGGGCTCGGCCTGGGGGCCCCTGGGTTGAGGCCAATTAGAAACTCACCTACCCCATCATGACAGGGCCGTGTGACCTTGGAAGACATCACCGTGTCCTTCTCCCAGGAGGAGTGGGGGCTCCTGATGAGGCTCAGAAGAGCCTGTATCATGATGTGATGATGGAGAACTTCGTGCTGGTGGCCTTGGTGGGTAAGTCCTTGAAGCAGCTCCATCAACCCTGCTGGGCCCGTGTGCCGGGCTGTCCTCCACAGCCGGGGCCTTGCTCCCCTACCCCCCACCCCTCCCACCCCATCCCCGGCTTCTCATCCTGTCTCTTGTGTGACAGGCCTGGGCTGAGAGCCAGTCAGTGAAGAGCTGGAGTTCATAAGCTTGTATGTAGCTCATTCCACCAATGTCACTTGGCCTTGCTCTTCTTTGCTCAGGTGACTTCAGATTTGCAGATTCTTCCGCTTTCTTTAGTGGACATTTCTTGGGGTCCCCCTCCCCACACACACACATACCTCAGGGACTATAGGCACTTATAGTCACTGTTTGTGGGGACACTGGATTATGACATCAGGACCCTCCTTTGAAGGTTTGGTTTTTGTTTGCTCAAGGCTAGCACTCTACCACTTTGAGCCATCGCTCCATTTTGGGTTTTTAGGTGGTTAATTGAAGATAAAAGACTCTCACAGACTTTCCTGCTCAGGCTGGTTTTCAATCATGACCCTTATATCTCAGCCTCCTGATTAACTAGGGATGCCACCAATGTCTGGCTGCTCTTATTCCTTGAGCTGTTAGGAGTCCTATTCAGAAAGCTGTTGCTTATGCCTATATCTTAAAGTGTTCTGTCTGTATTTTCCTTTTGAGATTTTAAGGTTTCAGTTCATACCTTAAGGACTCATTGTTTCTTGGGGTTTTTTGTTTTGTTTTGTTTTTTTATGGTCATGAGGCATTCTCGTACATTGTGACCTCTGGAACTGCTAAACAATCTTGATTTTTCACTTGTCCTAAAACAAGCGATGGACTCCTCCCTGTGATGTGGTCAAGTATTTTTACTGGCGCGGCCCCTCCCACACCAGCAGAGAATCCACACTGGAGAAAGGCCTGACGTGTGCACAGAATGTGGGACGGTGTTCATTCAGTCCTCTGATCACATTGGACAGCAGAGAATTCACAGGAGAGAGGGGGCTTGTGAATATAGTGAGTGTGGGAAGTCCTTCATCCACAGAAACAAACTTCTACATCACCAGAGGGTGCACACTGGAGAAAAGCCTCTGTGTGCTGCAAGTGTAGAAGGTCCTTCATGCGGTCCTCTGACTACATTCGGTATCAGAATTCACACTGTAGAGCAGCATACACATGCAGTGACTGTGGGAAAGCCTGGGTGCTGTCCCAGAGCTTTTTCACTCAAGGCTAGCACTCTACCACTTTGAGCCACAGCACCACTTCTGGCTTTCTGTGGGTTAATTGAAGGTTAGTGTCTCATGGACTTTCCTGCTGAGGCTGGTTTTGAACCATGATTCTCAGATCTTAGCCTCTTGAGTCACTAGGATTACAGGCATGAACTACTGGTGCCTGGCCCAACCCAAAGTTAAGCACCTACTTCAGCATCAGAGAACAAACCTACAAGTACAAAAATGTGAGAAATCCTTCAGCCACAAAAATAAGAGTTCATGCACACCAGAGGGTGGAGAAAAGCCCCCCATGTGCAGCAAATGTGAGAAATGCTTCAGGCACCACAGCAGCCTCATGGAACATTCACAATGGAGAGAGGCATGATCACTGCCCTGCACACGGGAAGTCTGCCAATTACAAAATTTTTGGAGAGGGTTGGGAAAGTGGCTCAGTGGTAGAGTGCTAGCTTAGCATGCATGAAGCCCTGGGTTGGATTCCTCAGTTCCACATACACAGAAAAAGCTGGAAGTGGTGCTGTGGCTCAAGTGGTAGAGTGCTAGATTGTGCAAAAGAAGCTCAGGGATAAAGCCCAGGCCCTGAGTTCAAACCCCAGGACTGGCAAGAAAACAAAAAAACTTGTGGAGCATCAGAGGGTCCATACCGCAGAAAAGCCTTTAACAAACAGTATTATTTTCTGTTGGTACCACAAGGCTCACACAGGAGAAAGGTCATGAAAGTGGATTTTCCAAGGAATCTATAAGATGTTGACCCTTTTACTTCTGAAGATGAGTATCTGGAACTTTCACAACCAGCCCTGAGTACCTGGGACGCTTTCAGGAGCTAACTTGCATTTCCTCTCACGCTCCTGTCTGCACTGAATATCACCACAGGACCCACCGGTCACCCAGTGTGCTCGGGGTGGCAGACTCTTGTGCCCCTCAGAGCTTGAAGGGATCCTAGAGCAATGTGAACTTTCTGGTTGTCCTCCATCCCGAGGAACTGCTTAGGTCATAAGCAAGACCAGTGTGGTCCAGAAAAAGTCTGGGTTTGGGTATCAGCAGTACCTGCAGTGGTCTGCTACCCTCATGGATACCGTTTTTATGTGTGGTTGCCCTTGTGGAGTTTTTTTTTTTTTTTTTTTGGCTCCACATCACCCTGAGGGGTCCAAGTGGGTAACCATGAGCTGATTTTGATGTATGCACTAATAGCTCTAGCACTTAAGCCACTTTTTTTTTCTTTTATGCCAATCTTAGAGGTTGAACTCAGGGCTTTAGTGTCTCTGAGCTTTTGTGCTCAAAGATAGCACTCTTACACTGAAGCCACAGCTCCACTTCCAGCTTTTTCTTTGATGGTTAGCTGGAGAATATCACTGATGTTCCTGCTGGGGCTGGCTTCAAACTGTTATCATCAGATCTCAGCTTCCTGAGTAGCTCAGGAGCCCCCATCAACATGCTTTTAAAGTCTGTTTTACTTGGTATTTATGTAGTCACATTGTTGCTTAATGGGTTAAAATGACATAGGGGATATGTTTCATTATTCTTTTGTTTGTTGTTGGTTGTGGGGCCTGAACTCAGGGCCTGGGCACTGTCCCTGAGCTTTTTTGCTCAAGGCTAGAGCACAACCACTTTGAGCCACTTTATTCAGGTTTTCTGGAGATGTTTCACAGTGACTTTCCTGCCTCAGCTGGCTTTGAACTGTGATCCTGAGACTCAGCTTCCTGAGTGGAGAGGATTGCAAGTGTGAGCCATCAGTGCCTGCTCCCTTGGAGCAGTAAAGAAACCCTCCCTTGGAGATGGTTTCTACCATTGGCATAGTCACTGTGTCGTGAGGTATATACCTGGGCCTTAATCATGACTGCACAGTAGCATCTGGGTTTTCTTGGGCACACACACAGCCTTCCTGTAGAACTCTTGTCCCCAGTGGCCAACACAGCCTGCTGCTGAGCAGGGACATTGGGTGAGCTGCCTCACCCTGTGCCATCTTCCAGGTCTGCTTCTCTGCCAGTCTGACCTCCTCCACTGTTACGTTTAGACATCATCTGCTGCGTAGCAGAGCATCACCAAACCTGAACTGACCCATGGTCTGTGGTCCCAGGTGTTTCATACACAATCAAAATGAGGCTGCTCCCGCCCACCACTGTCGGTGTATACCTGACCCGCATTTCTCTGCTTTCAGGGTGTTGGCATAGAATGAAGGACGAAGAGCTGCCTTCTGAGAAGAGCACTTGCACAGGCGTGTCTGATGCTAGGGCTTCCCAGGGAGCCCCTCTGCCCCAGAAGGCCTACCCCTGTGAGACATGGGGCCTGGACTTAAACCACATTCTACACGTGGCTGAGCCCCAGGAAACTCATAGGGGGCAAAGGCCACACCAGAGCATGGCATGTGGGGAGCAGCTGTGGGTCAGTGCAGTTCAGGAGCACGGTGGGGAGGAACACTCCAGTGGGGATGAAGATGGGGCATGCCTTGTGAAGCTCTCTCCTGTCCAGCCCTTGGGAACACCTTTGATGATGTGGGAGAGCTGTCAGGACTCAGGCAGCTTGGGCTTGTCCCAGCACCCAGTCCCTCACTGCGAACGGGACCCCCACAGAAGCACTGCGTGTGGAGAGATGGTGCGCGGGGGGCAGAGGCGGTACGCGTGTAGTGAGTGCGGGAAGGCCTTCAGCCGGAAGGACTCCCTCGTTCAGCATCAGAGAGTGCACACTGGGGAGCGGCCATACGCGTGCAGCCAGTGTGGGAAGGCCTTCAGCCGGAAACCCATCCTTGCTCAGCACCAGAGAGTCCACACAAGAGAAATGCCGTACGAGTGCACCGTGTGTGGGAAGGTCTTCAATCACAGCTCTAACCTTATCGTGCACCAGCGAGTACACACTGGAGCAAGGCCTTACAAATGCAGCACATGTGGGAAAGCCTATAGCCACAAATCCACACTGGTTCAGCACGAGAGCATGCACAGCAGGGAAAGGCCTTACGAGTGCAGCGAGTGTGGGAAATTCTTTGGTCATAAGTACAGGCTTATTAAACACTGGAGTGTTCACACTGGAACAAGGCCTTACGAGTGTATTACATGTGGGAAGTTCTTTAGTCAAAGCTCTGATCTCATTGCTCACCAAAGGGTTCACAATGGGGAGAAGCCATATGTGTGCAGTGACTGTGGAAAGGCTTTTAGCTACAAGCATGTGCTTGTTCAGCACCACAGGATTCACACTGGAGAGCAGCCATACCAGTGCAGTGAGTGTGGGAAGGCCTTCAGGCAGAGGGCCTCCCTCATCTGGCACTGGAAAGTCCACATCGGGGAGAGGCCATAGGCTGGCAGAGGCTGGGCCCTGTCCCTGTTCATCGCAACGATGGACTCTCCACTGGGAATTGGATTCATTTTTTTTTTTTTTTTGGTCGGTCGTGGGGCTTGAACTCTGGGCCTGGGCGCTGTCCCTCAGCTCTTCAGCTCAAGGCGAGCGCTCTACCACTTGAGCCACAGCGCCACTTCCGGTTTTCTGGTGGTTTATTGGAGATAGGAGTCTTACGGTCGGTCTCTCCTGCCCGGGCTGGCTTTGAACCGAGATCCTCAGATCTCAGCCTCCTGAGTAGCTAGGATTATAGGCGTGAGCCACCAGCGCCCGGCTGGATGTCATTCATTTTGACCTCCCAGCCACATCACTCACTTCCACATGCTCATTAGATTTTTTTTTTCTCGTCGGTTGTGGGTCTTGAACTCTGACCTGAGCACTGTCAGCTCAAGGGAGTGCTCGACCACTTGAGCCACACCAGTTTTGGTTTTCAGGTGGTTAATTGGAGATAAGAGTCTCACAGACTTTCCTGTCCAGCTGGCTTTGAACTGGGATCTTCAGATCTCAGCCTCCTGAGTAGCTAGGATTACAGGTATGAGCCACTGGCGCCCAGCAGTAGTAGATGTTTTCTAATCCTCTCTGAATCATACCTTAAGAATGGGAATAAACCCTTAAACACAGGTACATTTAATACAGTGAGAACAAGAGAAAATGTGAACTAATAACCACATGTTGGTTTCTTCATATAATTCTCAAAGCAATGTCAAAGTAAATAAAGTAAGTGCAGCCAGGTGCTGGAGGTTCAAGCCTGTAATCCCATCTACTCAGGAGGCTGAGATCTGAAGATCACAGTTCAAAGCCAGCCCAGGCAGGAAAGACCATGGCACTCTCGTCTCCAATGAACCACCAGAAAACAGGAAGTGGCACTGTGGCTCAAAGTGGAGTGCTAGCCTTGAGCAAAAGAGCTCAGGGACAGCACCCAGACTGAATTAAAGTCCCACAACTGACCCCCCCAAAAAAGTAAATACATTAGAAGTGCAATTTAATAATTATACACAGCACCTGTTGCTCATGCCTGCCCATGCTACTCAGGAGGCTGAGATCTGAGGATTGCAGTTTATAGGCAGCCTAGGCAAGAAAATCTGTGAGACACTTATCTCCAATTAACCAGCAAAAGCTGGAAGTGCAGTGGTGATTCAAGTGGTAGAGTGCTGGCCTTTTGCAAAAAATGATCAGGGACAATGTCTAGGCCCTACATTCAAGCTTCAAGAGTAGCACACACAAAAAAGTGCACTGAATATTGTACATCTGTTCTGGAGCTTGAACTCAGGTCCTGGGCATTGTCCCTGAGCCTCTTTGCGCCCAAGGCTAGTGCTCTACCATTTGAGCCACAGTGCCACTCTCAGCTTTTTCTGTGATTAATTGCAGATATGAGTCTCACAGACGTTCCTGCCTGGGCTGGCTTCAAACCACAATTCTCAGATCTCAGCTGCTTGAGTAGCTAACATTACAGGCTTGAGTCTCTGGGACCTGGGTTGAATATGGAGTTAATAGAAGAAAAAAAAAGAGACAAAACTGGAATGTTCTCAGCATTTCAAGACACAATTTATAACTCAGAACTTATGTAGATCAATAAAAATCATTTGCATAAAACTTTGAGATTTTGCATAGTAAGTTGTCACATGTGCATGGTTTAAACAATAATGTGTCCTGTTCACTACAGAAGTGACCTTTAGAAATTACTTTTACATTGTACTCAAATTTGTCACTTAAGTGAAATTACAGAACGAAAATACAAATAACTTAGGACTAGTGTACTACGGAGAGTGTTACAATTTTAGTCTGTCTCTTAATTAAAAGTTCATACATTATCTTGAGGACATATCTTAAAAATAATTTGTATAGAGTGCTGGTGGCTCATGCCTGTCATCCTAGCTACTCAGGAGGCTGAGATCTGAGGATTGTGGTTCAAAGCCAGCCTGGGCAAGAACGTCCATGAAACTTACCTCCAATGAACTACTCAGAAAAAGCCGGAAGTGGAGCAGTGGCTCAGAGTCAGAGTGTTAGCCTATAGTGAAAAGAGCTCAGGGACAGCACCCAAGCTAAGTTCATGCCCCATGTCTGACCCCCCCCAAAAAAAATTCATTAACTTATTTTGAAATTTCTCACACTTCTGTTAAGAATATTAGATCGAGTGTTCTTTTCATACACAACATCCATTTTTATGCCTTGTCTCGGATCCATGTGGACAGGAAATCTCTCCACATCTCAGAATCATAAATCACAGTCTCCCATTCATATGACATATGCACTGGAAATGAGCCAGACACTATGATTATCTGCTCCCTAAACAGCAAATGTCCCCAAAGCAAGGAAAATATTCATATGCTTAAAATGATAGAGGGGGAAATTCTAGACTTTCTGAAAGGAAGGCCTTCAGCAGACATGCAGGTGACATCATGGGGAAAATGAGCCCTGCCCCTCCATGTAGGTTAGAACTGAAGTACGTCTGGAACATCTGGTTTTTCCCTCAGTGTGGTCTCCTTGGAACCACGTACCACCATGCCCATGGTTGAGATGGAGTCTTCTCAACTTTTTACACAAGCTGGCTTCCCATCTTGATCTCCTCATCTCCCGAGTAGATGGGATTTCAGGCATGAGTCAGCTGCCCTGGGATGCTTCAGTGTGGGTATGGATCTATCTTCACTCAAGGACATCTCTGCATCTCCCCCTCCCTGCTACAACCCAGGGCTGCGTGTCACTGCTGCCTTGAACACTTTCAGTAACATTCTCACCTCTGAGAAATTACTTACCTGCTTGAGATACGTGACACAGCAGACATCATACAGCAGCAATGAAGTCCTGGTCCATTAAACCACCACAGGTCTCACCCCTTCCATGAGCAAGGCAGGTTCCCTCTGCACCATCTGAAGCTTGGTGGTCTCAGGCATACATGATATGCGATGACAAGCAATTTGCATTCTGTAACATCAAGGGTATTGGCACATCTACACTGTCCCTGGTAGACACTGGCATGTGGGCTGGCTCCCTCTCTGTGGTATAAACCACCCTTTCTTCCATTTGCTTTTCAAGGCTGTGTTCTAGGAGACTGTGCTTCTTATAAGCCTTGAACTAAAACTAGCAGATTCCTTATACACTTGACTAGAAGACAAAGTATATTTAGATAAAATGGGACAGATTTCAAGTATTTTCTTTTGTGCCAGTACTGGGGCTTGAACTTCAATTTTTTTCACTCAAGATGATGCTCTACCATTTGAGACACAGCTCCACTTCTGGCTGGTTTTGGTTAATTGGAGATAAGAGTTTCACAGACTTTCCTGCCCAGGCTGGCTTCAAATCTCCATCCTCAGATCTCAGCCTCCTGAGTAGCTAGGATTACAGGTATGAGCCAACTGTCACCTGACACTTTTTTGTCCTTTGCAGTGCTGGGGCTCAAGCCTAGTGCCTTGCATATACACGAGCCACAGACCTAGCCTTGGGTTTGTGTCAGGTCAGGGTCTTCATATATAGGCCCACACTGGCCTCCGACTCTGATCCTCCTGTCTCAGCCTGAGTATTCCCTTGAAGGGGACACTGGGACCAGCCCGCCTGCCATAGTGAGTATCTTCCACACAACCCTGACAGACTGTCACACCACAGGCCCCACAGCAACGGACCACACTGACCACAGGTGGAAAACTCCAAAGTAAACCTTTTTCCATCTTGGAAGCTGACAGGCACTTTGTGGCAGTGATGGAAGCTGACTGGTGAGAACAGCACCAAGATGAACCTCCACTTTTATGCAGACATCTGTGACAAGAGCGTGAAAAATTCATCTGGGAGACTTTTAAACCAACTTAAAACAACTAGATCCCAAATAAAAACAAAAGACACAACACCAGCTGTATCCCAGATGGGCCAGAACGAAGCTGGAGTCTGCACAAATGAGCTCAAGGGACTACAGCTTGTAGAAATGTACAGAAAACAATTGCCTAGAGCCAATTATACATTTCTTCAAGACAGTTAGCAGGGGCTGGAAAGGTGTCTCAGTGGTAGGGTGCTCGCCTAGCATGCATGAAGCCCTGGGTTCAATTTCTCAGCACCCATACACAGAAAAAGCTGGAAGTGGTGCTGTGGCTCAAAGTGGTAGAGTGCTAGCCTTGAACAAAAGCAGCTCATGGATAGTGCCCAGACCCTGAGTTCAAGTCCCACAACTAACCCCACCCCCAAAGAAAAGATATAATTAGCATGTAGAAGAAAATATGCTCAGCACTACTCACTGTTAAAGAAAAATCACAAATAACAAATCTGTTACAGTAACTAATTTAAAAAAAAATTTTTTGGGGGGGTCCGGTCGTGGGGCCTGAACTCTGGGCCTGGGCACTGTCCCTTAGTTCTTCAGCTCAAGGTTAGTGCTCTACCACTTGAGCACAACGCCACTTCCGGCTTTTTTCTTTTTTTTTTTGCTTATGTTGTGCTGAGGAATCGAACCCAGGGCCTCAGGCATGCAAGGCAAGCGCTCTACCACTGAGCCACCTTCCCAGCCTCTACAGTAACTAATTTTTATTAGAAAATGTTGGAAATTTGTGAGAAGTAAGGCTGCTGCACATGGTACACCAGCCATGGGGAATTGGTCCTTAAATATTTGTCGGCTCGGGGCTGGGAAGGTGGCTCAGTGGTAGAGCGCTTGCCTTGCATGCATGAGGCCCTAGGTTTGATTCCTCAGCACCACATAAGCAGAAAAAGCCAGAAGTGGCACTGTAGCTCAAGTGGTAGAGTGTTACCCTTCAAACTGAAGAGCTGAGGGACAGCACCCAGGCCCAGAGTTCAAGCCCCACAACTGGCAAAGAAAAATAAATATATATATACATGTACATATATATATACATATACATATATATGTCAGCTCATTTGGGAATGATAACACAAGTTGTCACTGGAAACTTCCTTTTTTTGTTTTGCCTGTCTTTTTCTGTGTATATGGTACTGAGAAATCAAACCTGGGGTTTCATACGTGCTAGGCAAGCACTCTACCACTAAGCCACATTTCCAGACCTCTATTTCTGTTTACTAATGCCCATCATTAATTTGTAGCTATATTGCTGTTACTTTGTACTTAAAAAGTTTTGACTTAACTGCTCAACCAGTTTGTGAACTATCTACCCAGTTCCCAAATCTGCACAGCAGTTCCTATTAAAAAAAAAAAATGTCATCAGGCACAGTGACACCAGTATGGGCTCCCAGTATGCAGGAAGTGAGACAGGAGGACCTGGAGTTTGAGTGCCGCTAGGGCAATAGTGAGATCCTGTCCCAGAAAGGGCTTGTCTGTGTGTACACTACCCTGAACCACACAGTCCCACTCCTGTGTATGCTGAGAGCTGAAGCAGGGCCTCCTGCTACCTGAACATCCACACCCACGGCAGCCTCCCTCACAACAAACATCCACTGATGGTTGAGGGCACAGAAGTGCTATGTCTACGATGCAAAAATTCCACTGTACAAAAACAATTCCATATCATTGAAGATACTACACTAGGTGAAATAAGACACAAAATAATAAGACCAAAATTTAATTTTCCATAGATGAACTAATGGTAGCAATGGTAACTGTCACGAGTTGGCTGTAGTGGAAAACTAGTTGTTTCTAAAGTTTACAGGGTTGGGGGGTTTTCTTTTGGCTGATTGTGGGGCTTGAACTCTGGGCCTGAGCACTATCCCTCAGCTCTTCAGCTCAAGGAGAGCACCCTACCACTCGAGCCACAGCACCACTTCTGGTTTCTGGTGGTTTATTGGCTATAAGAGTCTCACAGACTTTCCTGCCCAGGCTGGCTTTGAACCACAATCCTCAGATCTCAGCCTCCTGAGTAGCTAGGATTAAAGTGTGAGCCAGCGGTGCCTCACTTGTTTACAGGGTTTTGTTTAGAAAGATGAAAGGGCTTTTTGGACATTCATTGCACAAAAATGTGAATGGACGCCTAACCCCGGTTTCATCACCATGTTAACTTTTCCCTTAGGTAGGAAAAGTTTTGTGATAAATGACATGTCTGTCAGAAGCCTTTGCACTCATCCTGTACTGTGTGCTGTTTATCTGGTAGGAAGCGTTTGGTGCTGGGCAAGGTGTGCATTCAGGGGAATGGCCCTGCCGCAGTGGGCGGCCTGGTGAGGGCTCTCCCCAGAGTGCACCCGCCGGTGCTTGATGAGGCTGGAGTTGTAGCTGAAGGCCTTCCCACACTGGGCGCACACGAAGGGCCGCTCCCCAGTGTGCATCCTCTGGTGGCTGCTGAGTGCTGCGCTGTCCACGAACTGCTTCCCACAAGTGCTGCACACATGGCTCCTCTCTCGGGTGTGCACTCTGCGGTGGCGGGTGAGGTGGGCATTCTGGCTGAAGACTCTCCCACAGTCCCCACAAGCGTAGGGCTTGGCGCCCAGGTGATTCCTGCGGTGTCTGATCTGGTTGGAGTTGTGCCTGAAGAACTTCCCGCACTCGCTACACTCGTAGGGCCGCTCACCTGTGTGCACCCTCTGGTGTGTGTCCAGCGTGGAGCGGTAGCGGAAGAGCTTCCCGCACTGGCCACACGCATATGGCCGCTCCCCAGTGTGCACGCGCTGGTGGCTGCTAAGCGCTGAGCCGTCCACAAAGAGCTTCCCGCACTGGCCGCAGGCGAACGGTCGCTCCCCCGAGTGCAGCCGCTGGTGCCGGCTAAGCGTGAAGCCGTACCGGAAGAGCTTCCCACACTGGCCGCACGCATACGGCCGCTCCCCGGTGTGCACACGCTGGTGAGTCACCAGGGTGCTGCTATCCACGAAGAGCTTCCCGCACTGGCTGCACGCGAACGGCCGCTCCCCGGTGTGCACTCTGCGGTGCCGCAGGAGCGTGGAGCGGTAGCGGAAGAGCTTCCCGCACTCGCCACACGCGAAGGGCTTCTCCCCGGCGTGCGCTCCCTGGTGGGCGCCGAGCGTGGGGCTGTCCGCAAGGAGCTTCCCGCGGTCACTGCAGCCACGCGTGAGAGTGGAGCTGTCTGCGAAGAGTTTTCTGTACCTGCCGCGCGCATGGGGCCGCTCCCCTGAGTCGACTCGCTGGTAACTGAGGAGGTGGGACTGCGTGAGATGCGCCTTCCCACAGGGGCCGCACGTGGGCGGCGGCGGCCCGGACGGGCTTTCCAGGTGCTCCTCACGGCCAGACCCCGGGGCCAGACGCCCCTCGGGGAGGCCTGCGCGGTGCAGCGTGGGGTGGGTCTTGCTCGCGAAGGCCAGCTTCGCCGGGTGGATCCACGCCTGCTCCAGGACACCACACTTGAGCTTGAAGGCCTCCACGCATGCGTGCTTCTGCTGGTGCCTCGCAAGGCTGGATGTGTGCCTGAACTGCCTCCCGCACTCGCCGCACACATGCGGCCCTTCCCTGGGGCAGGTCCTTTGGGGCTCACGAAGCCTGTGTTGGGGGCAGAAGTCCTTCCCGCGTTCTTCCTGGCCGTGGGGGTCGCTTTGTCCATGCCGGAGGGCCTTCCTGCGGGGCGCCCCAGCACCTTGGCCCACGGGCTGCTGGAGGCCCCGCGCACCCGCCTTGTCCACGAGGGGCCCCTCTGCCCCGGGACCTCGGGGCCGCTCCAGAAACCACGGCCCACACGTGTCAGCGCCAGGACAACTCACTCGGGATGCCGGCCCCGGGTGGCGGTAAAGGTCTTCCAGACGCGCGCGCAGCTCCTGCCCGGGTCGCGGCCCGCGCTGCGCAGCCAGGTGCAGAATGGCTTTCAGGAGCAAGCCGCATGCGCCGCAAGGCCGGGTCTTCCGGGAGGCCGGGCCTGGCCCTGGGGTCCTGACCCGAGACGCACCGTGCTCAGCCCGGGCTCTGTGCCATAAACCTACCAGGAGAGAAATGCAGATGAGCTGCTGCCTCTTCCCCCCTCCCCACACCATGCCAGAGCACTCATAAGTGAGCCCAAGGGCAAGGCCAGCAAGAGGGCCTGGGAGGAGGGCTGGCCCGGGTGGGCATCTCCAGCTCGCCACTCCGCAGGCCCCCGTGCTGACTGTGGCTCTGGTGGTGGGGATGAGCATGTAGAAACTGTGTCCAGATCCCAGGCATCTGGTGTTCTGAGATGATTTGAAATGCAAGATGTCCTAGTTTCGATCAGATGTCAAGAACACCACCATGGGTAGAAGCAGATTTGAGAGAAGCAAAAGCCAGAGCCCACAATCACTACTCAGGAGAAATAACACCAAAGAGAAAAGGCAGAGATAGCCAGCTGGTGTGGCCACCTAGCCAAGGCACAGCGGAACCAGCATCCAGCTCCAGCTCTCAAGGGCCACGTCCTGCACTTCTCTTGCCACCGCTAGAGTTGGAGCCATGTCTGGAAGCCAGGGCCTGCTCCCCACCACTGTCTGTCTGAGCCCAGCCCAGCCCAGCTCTAGGTAGAAGGGGGGCAGGGAGGGGAGGCATGGCTAGCACACACCCAGAGCCACGCAGCTGGGAACACCTGCACCCTAAAACTCTGAATGGTCAAAAGCGGTGACCAGGTGGTGCCTAAGGCTCCTGGCAAGACCAGGCTGGAAGAACACTGGCAACAGGAAGGGGCAGGAAGCGGTACCAAGCTCCCATGTGCCTAGAGAGGAGAAGATGGCAGTGGAGGGGGGGGAGGCACTATGTATGTGACCCTGGTTCCCACAGCATTGATAGAAAACCCGGGAAGGAAGCAACACCGGCAGGGTGGTGTGGGGAACAGAGCTACCCCGGGGCCTTCTCACAGGAGGAAGGATCAGGGCCACAGGTGCCAGGCCTCACCCAGTGAGGACAGGAGCATGAAGTTCCCCAGCATCACGTCGCAGTAGAGCCGCCGCTGAGCCACGTCGAGCAGCCCCCACTCCTCCCGGGAGAAGTACACAGCCACATCCTCAGACGTCACCCAGCCCTGCTGAAACCAAACCAGGACAGCGCCACTGTTGCTTGCCATCTCCAGAGACCGGCATTTTCCTAGCAATCACATTGATGAAGGAGGAGCCATGCTGGCTTCCATCTGGAGCTGAACCTCCTTTCTTACCTCCCGCACCTCAGCATTCCAGCAGACCCTACTTTCCAACCAAGCAGAGGAGAATCCGGCAAGGTGACAGGAGCCACACAACCCAGGGACCTCAGGGAGGTGACAAGGGCCACACAACCCGGGGAGTCCTCAGAGCCTCATGGCTCCCCCAGGACTTTACCACCACCTGCTCACTTCGATGGACATGCCTCAGCATCTACCTCATGTCCACAGTCCCCAGGCCTTGCCACCACCTTCCTGGTGAGACCCCGTCCTCAGACACCCCACCCCCCCTTTTTTTTTTAAACCAGTCCTGGAGCTTGAACTCAGGGCCTGGGCATTATCCCTGAGGCTTCTTTTGCTCAAGGCTAGCACTCTACCACCACAGTGCCACTTCGGGCTTTTTCTAAGTGGTTTATTGGAGATAAGAGTCTCATGGACTTTTCTGCCCAAGCTGGCTTTGAACTATGATCCTCAGCCCCCAGACTCGAGTATTTAGGATTACAGGTGTGAGCTTCCAGCACCAGCTCACACCCTCTGTTCTCTTCCCTCTTCCCTTTCTTTTGGCCAGTCATGGGGCCTGATCTCTGGGCCTGGGCGCTGTCCCTCAGCTCTTCAGCTCAAGGCTAGCACTCTACCACTTGAGCCATAGCACCACTTCTGGCTTTTTCTGCTTATGTGGTGCTGAGGTATTGAACCCAGGGCCTCATGCATGTAAGGCAAGCGCTCTACCACTGAGCCACCTTCCCAGCCCTCCCTCTTCCCTTAACAACTGCATTTCCAGGTTCCAGAATCTAAAGTCACCTCCCCCACCTGTCAGTCTCACACCCGCCACATCTTGACCACCTCCGCTCTGTTCAGACGGAGCAGATACCCACAGCCTTGCAGTGTCTGAAATACACTCAGTCCACACCTCCTTGCTCATATTCCACCAAGATTCAATCAACGTGGGACACAGCAGCAGTCCCAGCGGCCGCCTGTGCAGACGAGGCGAACTGGAGAGAACTCGTGAGCCTCCTTCTTCTCACCTCTCTGGTGCCACACTCTCCACCTCCCAGGGTGAACAGAACCATCCAGAAGCCAGCAGCTCCTCCCACCTCCACAGCTACTATTCTGTTCAACATTAATCCTTTCGGTCCTGCCTCCACCCTCCTTCCCTCCGAGTTCTCCATGCTGCCACAGGGGAAGCGTGTTCAAATCCCACATGTCCACCTCTTCTTCCTTGGGCCTCCTGGGCCCAGCCACTCAACATGCCTTTCCCACGGGCTTTCAGAGCAGAGCCACAGGGTCTCCAGGCCCAAGGGAGGAGGAAAGACACAGGTGAAATGTGGGGACAGCCTGGGGTGTCTGCCCCTTACCTGTGCCAGGTCCATGAGCACCGCGCTGCTTCCAGAGGCCCTGGGGAAAAGGAGGCCATGAGAGACAGGCCGCCGCTGTGTATTCTCAGCGTCTGAGCTGCACTACCACCTTTGGCCTGCCCAGAGAGTGACCTAAGCTCAGGTCAGCTCCCAGACTTCAAACCAGGCCAGAGGCCCCCTAAGCCTCAGAGCCTGTGTCTATAAAATGAGAACAAAAATGGCTGCCACATCACAAGGTTCATCCTGGAATCAAACAGAATTGATATGCATGATGTATAAGAAATGACATCCTATGGGATTAAAATAATTTTGTTACACGGGAACTTTTTTGGTAGCATTGGACTTGAACTCAGGCCTCAAACTTGCTAGAGAGGTGCTCTACCACTGAGCTGTGGCCCCAGCCCTTTATGATTTAGTTGTTTTTCATAAAGGTTCTTTTTTTTAAAAATTTAGGCCAGTCTTAGACCAAGACCCTCCATGTATATTTCCTGGGGGAGGGGGGGAGAGGGGAGTGTTACAGACATGTGCTACACCCAGCTTGTTTGTTGAGATGAGGTATCACTAAGTTTTTGCCCTTGCTTGGTCTTGAACAGTGATCCTCTCAATCAAAGCTTTGTGTATGTCTTTAACACAAATAAAGTAGAAGATTTTGAAAATTTGCATACTTCTCCCTCACTTTTAAAGTTCTTTTTAAAACATTTAAAATCTGGGGCTGGGAGTGTGGCCTAGTGGCAAGCAGGAAGCCCTGAATTCGATTCCTCAGTACCACATAAGCAGAAAAAGCCAGAAGAGTAGCTGTGGCTCAGGTGGTAGATCGCTTGCATTGAGCACAAGCTCAGGGACAGCGCCCAGGCCCTGGGTTCAAGGCCCAGGACTGGCAATACATATCTACCTTCAGCCACTTGGGAGGTGCAGACGGGAGGATCAGGACCCCCAGGCCAGGGAGCCCTACCTCAGAAGGATACAAAAGGTCTCTTGGGGGTGGGCGGGCCAGCGGCGGCGCTAGCCAGGATGATGAGGGACGGGCAGCGCCAGGTCATGCCATGTCCCCATCCAGCAACCTGTGCTCTTCCCTCTGAACTCGACAGAGCGGGCGTCACCGCCAGGCCCGGCAGGCCTCCCCTCCGCTCCCCACCTCGTCAGCGCCCACCCGCGGCCTTCACGTGCGGCCCAGGGCAGGGCCTCCCCGTACCGCCTCCCCGCCGGCCCTGGCGCGAGATCGCCCCACACCAGACTCGGGCCCCCGGACCCCGGAAGAACCCTAACGGGCTGCGCGTGACCGTAACAGGCTCCGCGAGCTCCAGCCGTGGCGCCCTCACCTCTCCGGAACCCTTAAATTCGTAGACCGCCCCCCGAGAGACAGGCACGCTGCGGCAGCGAGGACGCACCCGGAAGTCCCACCCAGGCACGCCGCGCACGCGCCCAACCTGGGATCCCATTGGCTCAGCGGCTTCCGCGCGCCAGGGGCCCCTGGGTATTGTAGTTCTTCACCCACTCCCTTCCCCGGCTTCAGTCTAGGTGCAGAGTTGTCGGAGTCCCCCACCCGGATTTTGGGAAGGTGAAAGCCAAACTGAGTAGCGAGGGGTTGGAGGACCTAGCAGGCTTCAGAAAACCACTGTCTAGGCCTGCAGGGCCCGCTGGCGGCTGTTGCCATGCCCAGGGTCAAGATCCTGGCCTCCCTAGTAGCTGGGATCACAAGGCATGACAAACCACGAAGGAAAAGCCGGAAGTGGCGCTGTGGCTCAAGCGGTAGAACGCTCGCCTTGAGCAAAAGCAGCTCAAGGACAGTGCCCAGGCCCCGAGTTCAAGCCCCAGGACTGGAAAAGAAAAAAATTATATACAAATCTCTTCCATGGCCTTTCTCATTTTGCTTTGTTTCTGTATCAATTATGATTCTGCAATTTCCTGGTGTGTCTCAGCAATCAACAGCACCTGCCTATAGCACCTTGGATATCAGAAGCCTGCTCCTTGCACAGGTCTGGGCAGCAATAATCCCTCAACAACTAGGGAACGTGTGACATTCAAGAAATGTGGCTCAACATGCAGGAAGCCCTGGGTTCCATTCCCACATAAACAGAAAAAGCCAGAAGTGGTGCTGTGGCTCAAGTGGTAAGGTGCTAGCCTTGAACAAAAGAAGCTCAGGGACAGTGGCCAGGGCCTGAGTTCAAGCCCCCTGACTGACAAAAACAACAAAATCCCCCCAAAACTATATCCATAATGCTTCTAGAAACATAATGAACACTGGACTAAGTGCCAATGGCTCATGCCTGTGACCCTAGCTACTCAGAAGGCTGAGCTCTGAGGATCATGGTTCAAAGTTAACCCAAGCAGGAAAGTCCGTGAGACTCCAGGTAACCACTAGAAAACCAGAAGTGGTGCTGTGGCTCAAGTGGTAGAATGCTCACTTTCAGCTGAAGAGCTGAGGGACAGCGCCCAGGCCCAGAGTTCAAGCCCCACAACCAACCAAAAAAAAAAAAAAAAAAAGTACACTGAGCTCTGGAGAAATCCTTACAATCATGTCCCCATCATCTGACAATGGCAAGAGGGGTATATGAAATCAAAACATACTGAAAAATAAAGGCTCCCTTCACCTTGGCAGAACCCAACTGCCTTCTCAGTCCACTCTGCAGAGTAAAGAGCCAAGAGTAAAGGGTGTTAGGACATGTCCCTCTCACAGTGTAAAAACAGCAGGATGGGACAGGGAGTTGCAAAATTGAGATCTGACAGTAAGACTAACAATGTATAGATATCATGCTCACAGTTAATGTTTTCTGTACAGGGAAAACTTAGCTGAACATTTCTAGCAGACTCTAGCTTAGTTGCTTTTGGCCAGGACTAGATGATGTCCACTTGGAATCCAATGGTAAGAGGAGAAACAGGGCCCTTGGGGTGCTCCCATTTACAAATTCATGTAAAGAATAGGGAAGTGAGCAACATCTGTCTGACTAGAGCGGGACACAGTGACTAACACAAGTTCTAATAGTACAATGGCTGCAAGAGCCCTGGACAGCTTAGAAATCCACTTCTCATGAAAACCTCTCACGTGCCAAGCTGACAGGAAAGCTCCCCCAAAAGATAAAAGAACAGATGAGGCGAACCTGCAGGCTGATAGTGGACTTCTGAAATGGTTCCTATTTGCTTGGAAGAGTAAACAGAAAAGTTCCTGCACACACAAGACCTTTCTCAATTTTTTTTTTTTTTGGAAGCTACTCAAAAGATTTGACAAAAGGATCACCAAGACGGCTGAGGGCATGAGACCTTTCTCCAACATGAATTTTCTGGTGCCGAGAGAGATTGGATTTTCTGCTGTAGGCTTTCCCACAAGGGCAAACATAAGGCTTCTCTCCAGTGTGAACTCTCTGATGGAGAACAAGGCTGGAGTTGCACCTGAAGAGTTTTCTACACTGGTTGCATTCATAGGATCTTGTTCCTGTGTGGACCTTCTTATGTTGGACTAGGTGGTAGCTGCTGACATAGGCTTTCCCACACTCATCGCACACATAGGGCCTCGTTCCCGTGTGGACTCTCAGGTGTAGAATGAGGGTGGTCTTGTGACTAAAGCATTTCCCACACTTGTTACACTCATAAGGCTTTGCTCCAGTGTGAATTCTCTGGTGCACCATAAGGTTGGAACTTTGTCTGAATAACTTTCCACACTCACCACACTCATAGGGCCGCTCCCCAGTGTGAATTTTGCGGTGCTTCGCGAGTGTGTTTCTGCTGCTGAAGGCCTTCCCACACTGAGTGCACCCATAAGGCCTTGCTCCCGTGTGAACCTTCTTGTGTTGGATGAGGTGGGAGCTGCAGATGTAGGCTTTCCCACAATCATTGCACACGTAGGGCCTTGCTCCCGTGTGGACTCTCTGGTGTAGAATGAGGGTGGACTTGTGACTAAAGCATTTCCCACACTTGTTGCACTCATAAGGCTTTGCTCCAGTGTGAATTCTCTGGTGCTCAATAAGGTTGGAACTACGTCTGAATAACTTTCCACACTCATGGCACTCATAGGGCCTCTCCCCAGTGTGAATCTTCCGGTGCTTTGAGAGTGTGTCTTTGCGACTGAAGGCCTTCCCACACTGAGTGCACCGGTAAGGCCTTGCTCCCGTGTGAACTGTCTCATGCTGAACAAGAGTGTCTTTGCAGCCAAAGGCTTTCCCACACTGGCTGCACACATATGACCTCACTCCCGAGTGGACACTCTGATGTTTAAGGAAGCTGGACTTATGGCTAAAGAATTTCCCACACTCCACGCACTGGTAAGGCCTAGCTCCAGTGTGAATTCTACAGTGCTCGATCAGGTGAGAGCTATGGCTGAAGAATTTCCCACATTCAGCACACTTGTAAGGCCTCTCTCCGGTGTGAAATCTTTGGTGTTGAACAAGCGTGTCTTTACGTCTGAAGGCTTTGCCACACTCACGGCACTCAAAGGGTCTTTCTCCTGTGTGGATTCTCCGGTGCTGAATGAGTAGGTCTTTGCGGCTCACTGTCTTCCCACAATCGCTGCACGTATAATGTGCTTTTCTAGTATGACATTTCTGGTGAATCTTTAGGTGAGATGGGCGAGCAAAGGCCTTACCACACTCCTCACACACATGCGGTGTTCTGCCGGGAACTCCCCTGTCACTAGGAGTTGACTCTTCCTTGAATGCCATTACACCTGGTAGGCATCTAACGGGCCTCATGTCAGAGCGAGCAGTCTGGCTGTCAAGGAGAACTGAGCCCTGCATGGCTCTCTCATCACCTCTGGAAGTGGAAAGTACCTGTCGGTTACGGTCTTCATGCTGCTGCCCGAGACCGTCCGGGGATGGCTCCATGCAGGCGTGCTGTGGGCTCCCTCCACTCTGAGCGGTCAGGTGACTGAGGAGGCTGGAGCTGCTTTGCACGGCCATCCCTGCTTCCCTGCAGGAAAAGGGGGTCCTTACTGTGTGGACCACACAGCTCCTCACCAACCAAGTTCCTGCATGGTCTACACCGAAGGAATTTTCTCCGCAATTTCGCTTCTGGTGCCAGCAGAATCCTTTCCCACCGGGGGCGCAGATAAGCAGTGTGTGCAGGGATGAGTCCTGGTGCTCAGCCAGGCACACAGTGTGCTCCAGCAGGGGCTCCCAGTCCTCACGCAGGCAGGCATTTTGGATCCGCACACCGGGCTCGGGACTCCTGACTGGTGACACTCCTTCCACAGAAACATGTTTCTCAGAAAGGGCCTCACCAGCCTCTGCTTCACACCAGCAACCTGAAAGCAGAGAAATGCTGATGACAACCTGGTTCCCTTTGGTCGGAAGCCAGCAGTGGTCTCAGCACATAAATAGCTGGCTGAGAGCCAAGGGAGCCGAGGTCAGCATTAAGAAGAGTCAGCTGTCACTACAGCCTCCACAGAGGGCGGGGCAGAGCAGAGGGAATCCCTTGCACAAGGGTTTTCATAGGGTGTTTGGTGGCAGGTGTGAGCTTTACATCGGACAGTATTCTCAAAGATTTGAATGTAAATAATGCATACTGTGTTCTGACCATTACGAGAAGTGACCTATTATAAGGCAGAGACAGGAAAAATGTCCGGAAGAAGCAAGGAGAGAATGACGGGTGGGCAGTGACAAAAAAAAAAAAAAAGAAAGAGCAGCGAGGACCATCATGAACCTTGGTAACAGAATCTTGCTGGACAAAGGGCCAGTTAACAGTCTGATTGGAACAGCTCCAACCTGACACTGGACCTCCACACTTGGTTCCCATTCAGCGGGCCAGGCCTTCACCAGGCCTCCTTTATACATCAGGGTTTTCCATACCTCTGTAATTTAATCTTTTTTTTGGGGGGGGGGGTTGGTTATGGGGTTTCAACTCTGGGCCTGAGTACTGTACGTCAGTTCTTCAGCTCAAGGCTAGCACTCTACCACTTGAGGTGCCCTTTCCGGTTTTCTGGTGGTTTATTGGACATAAGAGTTTCACGGCCTTTCCTGCCTGGGCTGATTTTGAACCGTGATCCTCAGATCTTAGCCTCCTGAACAGCTGCGATTACAGGTGTGAGCCATTGGCACCCAGCTCTGTGATTTAATATTCAAGTAGTTGTATAAAGGAGTTTTAATTCAATGAATCTGTTTACATAGGCTCTTAAAAAGCAAACTATAATAAAACTAAAGTCAGAGACCAAGGCAGCACACATGAGAGAAAACAATTTTTTTCTGGTAAGTCATGGGGCTTGAACTCATGACCTGGGCACTGTCCTTGAGCTTTTTTGCTCAAGGCTAGGGCTCTACTACTTTGAACCACAGTACCACATCCGGTTTTCTAGTGGTTAATTGGAAATAAAAGTCTCACACTCCTCCCTCCCCCCACTCCTCTCTCTCTTTCTTGCCTGAACTCTGGGCTTAGGCTCTGTCCCTCAGCTCTTCA